CTCAGATCTAGAAAAAATGATGCTGAAATTCATATGGAAACACAAGAGACCCTGACTAACTAAAGCAATCTTAAACAACAACAACAACAAAAGCTGGAGACATCACAAGAACTGATTTCAATACATACTACAGGACAGTTTTAATCAAAATAGCCTGGTACTGGCACAAAAATAGACATGTATATCAATGGAACAGAATAGAAACTCCAGAAAACAATCCATGCATCTTCAACCAATTATTGTTTGACAAAGGAGCTAAAATCAATCCCTGGAGAAAGGACAGTCTCTTCAATAAATGCTACTGGTTTTATTGCATCTACGTGTGCAGAAGTAGACCCCTACCTTACACCTTTGTATTTTGATACAGAAGTCAACTCAAAATGGATCAGGAATCTAAATCTATGATATAATTCCATCAAATTACTAGAAGGAAACATCAGAAAATCTCTGGAAGATATTGGCATAGGCAAAGACTTCTTGGAAAAAACCAAGAAGTACAGACAATCAAAGCACAAATAGACAAATGGGATTACATCCAAGCTAAGATGCTTCTACACTACAAAGGAAACACTCAACAAAGTGAAATGTTAACTGACAGAATGGGAGAAAATATTTGCAAACTATGCAGCAGATGAAAGATTAATATCTAGGATCTATAAAGTGCTCAAGAAATTCAAAAACAACAAAACAACAAAATAAACAATCCAGTTAAAAAATGGGCAAAGGATTTGAATAGGAATTTTTCTTCTTCTTCTTCTTTTTTTTTTTTTTGATAAGCAGAGTGGACAGTGAGAGAGAGAGACAGAGAGAAAGGTCTTCCTTTTCCATTGGTTTAACCTCCAATGGCCACTGCGGCTGGCGCACTGTGCTGATCCAAAGCCAGGAGCCAGGTGCTTCTCCTGGTCCTCCATGTGGGTGCAGGGACCAAGGACTTGGGCCATCCTCCACTGTACTCCTGGGCCATAGCAGAGAGCTGGCCTGGAAGAGGAGCAACCAGGACAGAATCCGGCGCCCCAATCAGGACTAGAACCTGTGTGCTGGCACTGCAGGCAGAGGATTAGCCTATTGAGCTGTGGTGCCGGCCATTGAATAGGAATTTTTCAAGAAGGAAATTCAAATGGCCAACAGACACATGACAAGATGTTCAGGATCACTAGGCATTATGGAAATGCAAATAAAATGAACACTATGAGAAATGGTGACTTGATCAGCCCTCACCCTAACTGTTGATGAGAAACTTAATATGTTATCCCTCTGAGTATTTTTTTTGTTTGTTCTACTTAATACTTTTGGTTGAATACTGTAATCAATACACAGTTATTCTTAAGTGCTGAAACTTAACTGAAAAGTGATTGCTGTAAAATATAAGAGTGGGAATAAGAGAGGGAAGAGATGTGCAATTCAGGACATGTTCAAGCTGACTTACCTCAAACAGTAGAGTTAGAAACACACCAGGGGATTCCAATTCAATCCCATCAAAGTGGCATGTACCAATGCCATCTCACTAGTCCTAGTGATCAATTCCTGTTCACAATTGATCGTAATGATAGGACTAAGAACCAAAGGGATCACATAAACAAGAAGAGTGTCTGCAAATACTAGCTGATAGAATAAAAAAGGGAGAGAACAATCCAACATGGGAAGTGAGATACACAGCAGACCCGTAGAATGGCAGATGTCCTAAACAGCACTCTGGCCTCAGAATCAGCCCTTAAGGCATGCGGATCCGGCTGAAGAGCCCATGAGAGTATTTCAGGCATGGAAAGCCAAGACACTCTGGGGGGGAAAAAAAACCTAAATGAAAGATCTCTGCAAGTGAGATCCCAGTGGAAAGAACGGGTCATCAAAGAAGGAGGTACCTTTCTCTGAAGGGAGGAGAGAACTTCCACTTTGACCATGGCCTTGTCTAAATATGATCAGAGTCGGTGAACTCAGGGGGCTTCCATAGCCTTGGCAGCTCATGACAAGAGCCTAGGGTGATTACTGATGCCATAAACAAGAGTGTCAATTTGTTAAATCAGCAACAGGAGTCACTGTACACTTACTCCTCATGTAGGATCTTTGTCCTTAGTGTGCTGTACATTGAGATTTTAATGCTATAACTAGTATTCAAACAGTATTTTTCACTTTGTGTTTCTGTGTGGGAGCAAACTGTTGAAATCTTTACTTAATGTATGCTAAACTGATCTTCTGTATATAAAGAGAATAAAAAATGAATCTTGATGTGAATGGAAGAGGAGAGGGAGTGGGAAAGGGGAGGGTTGTGGGTGGGAGGGACATTATGGGGGGAGGAAGCCATTGTAAAAAAAAAAAAAAAACACCTCACCTGTTATCATCCAAAAGTCAAAAATCAGTAAATTCTGGCAAAGATGTGGGTGGAATAGGTACCCTAAAACACTGTTGGTTGGAATGTTAATTGGTAGAACCATTATGGATTACAGTGTGGTAATTTCCCAGAAATCTGAAAATAGATCTACCATGTGATCCAGCCATCTACTCCTGGGAATTTATACCAACAAAATGAAATCAGGACATGAAAAATTTATTTGTATCCCCATGTCTATTGCAACTGCATTCAAAAAGCAAAGATATTGAATCAACCTAGATGTGCATCAACTGATGACTGGATGAAGAAAATGAATAAATAAATAAAATAAAGCTCTGTCTTTTGCAACAAAATGGATGCAACTGGAAACAATTATGCTTAGTGAAAAAAGCCAGTCCCAAGAAGACAAATATCATGTTTTCTCTTATATGTGACAGTTAATATAGGATACAAAAAATGTGTAGGAATCAATGGACATCTTGGGATATGATTGCTGATTTTAGCCCTTGCTTATTCCCCTGCGGAACTGTGATCTTTCCACCTTTTACTTATTTAATATTATGATTAGTGGTGAATAAGCCTGTGATTACAGAGTGGATTGAAAGTGTGTCTTTGCAAAAATTAAATAAAAAAAGGAAGGAAGGAAGAAAGGAGATTGATGGAGGGAAAGCAGGGAGAGAAGTATGGATATGTTCTTAGAACCATACCTATGAAATACATGAAATCTGTTCTCTTTATATTATTTAAAAAGAAAAAAAGGAAGACATTATTGGTTCTATAAAAATAGTTTAACAAATAAAAAGTATAAAGACCACACAAATAACAAGCATAAAGACCATAGTTCAGGAAGGATATATTCTTGACTTAGTCTTGATAGTTTATATGTATTTAGGAATTCATCAATTTATTTGATCCTTTCCAGTTTCACTGAATGGTTTTTAAAACTCCTCCCTAAGACTTCATGTTTTGTCCATTCTTCTAAAATCTAAATATAATTTTCCTCCACATGTTGTTTTGTTTAGGTATATAAGTTAAAAATGACCTGATTGAACATTGGCAGAAAAATGATATATTGAAAAATATTTATCTTTTCCAAAGTTTGAGTACAAGAAACAAAGAGGCCTTCCATATGAAAAATTAATGAGAGAATCTATAATTATTTCTATACATCAGTGGTTCTCAACTTGTAATAATTTTGTCCCCAGGGATATTTGGCAATGTTTGTACACAATTCTTGGTTGTCACAACCTGGTATATGCTGCTAGCATCTAATGGTAGGGGCAAGAGATGCTGCTATATATTTTATGACACAGAGAACAATACCCCACAACAAAGAATTATTGTGTTCAAATGCCAGTAGTTCCAAGGTTGAAAAACCATGACTGCCGGTGCCGGCGCTGTGGCGCAGTGGGTTAAAGCCCTGGCCTGAAGCGCCAGCATCCCAAATGGGCGCTGGTTCTAGTCCCCACTGCTCCACTTCTGATCCAGCTCTCTGCTATGGCCTGGGAGAGCAGTGGAAGATAGCCCAAGTCCTTGGGCCCCTGCACCCACTTGGGAGACCTGGAAGAAGCTCCTGGCTCCTGGCTTTGGATTGGCGCAGTTCCAGCCATTTCAGCAATCTGGGGAGTGAACCATTGGATGGAAGACCTCTCTCTGTCTTGACCTCTCTCTGTAACTCTGTCTTTCAAATAAATAAAATAAATCTTTAAAAAAAAGAAAGAAAAAACGATGACTGCCGAAAACTACAAAACACTAAAAAAAATTTCTATACATTATTTCTGGTTTTTTGAAACCACTGACCTTCATGATTTCATAGTTAAAGTCATAATAAATATAGGAACATAAAAATTAACTTGATATGTTGCTTTAATTAATACTTATATAGTTTAATCAATTTTGCTGCTCTTACTGCAATATAAAATATCCTCTGTTATTGTGAAACTATATTTGATTCTGTATTTCTTTTACTGCTGATTTTTTTAAACTTGAAAATGCAAAAAGAGCAGATTTTAAATTTTATCATCGATATACATAAACACAAGCACACACAAGATAACTATGTGAGGTAACAGATATTTCAATTAGGTTGGTTGTGGTAATCATTTCACAATGCATACATTTGTTAAAACAGTACATTGTATAATTGACATATAATTATTGTCAATTTTACTTTAATAAGGATGGTTGAAGTAAAAGATTCACAATTAACTACTGATTTTTGTGGTATAAAGACAAATAATAAACAATGTTAGACAAATCATAAACTAGAAGTGAGCAACTCTCTTTGAAGGGTAGTGGAGGCATGTTTTCATAAAACAACAGTTTGGAGACAGATTAGAAGGTGTTGCTTCTTTCCCCTGTCCCCTAAACTTTCATTCTCTGTTTCAGCACTATAGAGTTGTTAAAAGGACAAATGTTACTGCATGCCAAAATAAACACTGTCTACAGTGCCTGGAACATGGCAATTATTCCATAATTCTGAGTTCTTTTAGGTCTGATGAACATAGTTTCAGGGACTTTATTTTGTATACATGATCTATTTATCTTGTGTTTATCATGAATTTATAATTGAATCAATAGGAGAGTTGGTCTTATAGGTAACTTTGCCTTTCACCAGGAAAACAGGCAGCTGGGTGTGCTCTAGAATTCTAAGAGTCTATGACTCATGACTGGTTCTGTGGTTCTAGTGCTGAGGGTAGTAATCGCTAAGGGCTCATTGCTAAGGACTCCATGTAACACTGGTGGGGAAATAGATCATGATTTTCACTACAACATTCACTCCCTGATTCTCTTCACAGAGTTCTGCCAATGAATCATGGAGTCACCATCCGAGGGGAAAAGAGCCATTGCCTTAAAACCATCAGACACCGTACTGACTGCATTTCCCTACAGACCTCATAGCACCCTGCTGGATCTCCTGAGGGGAGAGCCGAAAGTCTTGGGGGTAAGTTCTCTCCAGTCACAGGTGTTTCTGGAGGGGAGGAAATAAGCTATTTCTCCATGCACGCTTGAAGAAACACCACTCAGCAAGGGAACTGATTTGACTGTTTTTTCCCCTCCTTCACCATTTGTAATATATCCTTCTTGATTCATCACAAGTACTTTTAAGTCAGTTCCTTGTACAAATAATTGGATCATTTGTAGAAAAGCAAATATATAACCAATGATATCATTTCTGTAGATTTTGAAAGTTCTATTTAGAAGCAGACAATCTTTGTTTTACATCTTAGAAATGCATCTGAGGGCTTATTTAATTTTGAGAAATACAGTATTCAATTCTAATATCTCCTCTAGCTCTGAGCAAATCCCAAGGCTATTTCATCAGGAGTTAGTACTGAACTTGGAATCCATTTGGCAGAGTAGAAGCATGAAACTGGCATAAATTTTCCAAATATCTTATTAAGGAAGTGACTTCAGGGTCTGGTAGAAGCTCCCTTAGTACCTAAGAGCCATTAGTAATGTTAAACTTCCTCTTAGTGATATTATAGACAACAGAAGTTCTTTGAAATCCTTATCTAAAGCTACATGGTAAACAGACATACACAATTATTTTTAATATAAATGTACCTAGGAGAGAGTTTTGTAAACAATACCCACCCTTTAGTGTAACAGTAAAATCACTACTGTGTTACGGTGCCACAGAGGTGTGGCCAGGGACACATCAGAGGAAAGCCACTGCCTCTCCAGTTCCACTGTGGAATTTACCTCCTGTCAGACCCTAACGGGTGGAAAGGCCACCTGGGTTGTCCTCAGCTCCAGTTAGGTCTTTAGGTGAAGGGGAGATAGACATGACTTCACCTCAGTTTCTACCCTCTCTGTGAGAAAACTTCATAGACTTTTAGATAACATGGAGGACCATCAATTCCAAAAACAAACACAACTGGCCCTCCATATCCATTCAAAATGCACAGATTTAACCAATCATTCACTGGTGGATATTGCTGAAAAAAAAAAAAACTGCATTTGCACAGAACTTGCACATACTTCTTTTCTTGCCATCATACCCTAAACAATACAAGCTAACAATGATCTACACAGCATTTACATTGTATTAAGTATTGCAAGCAATCTAGTGCTAATTTAAATATACAGGAGGTGCACAGGTTATACAGAAATGTTACGGCATTTTATATAAGGGAACTTGTGCATCCAAAGAAGTTAGTGTCCACAGGCATCCTGGAACTAATACCCACGATCCCTGGAGATACTGAGGGATACTTTTTAATGGGGAAAATGTGAGATGTGGGTATATTAGTCAGATTTTTGTTAGTACAATGAAATTAAGCAACTTATGGAGGAAGTACTAACATCATGTACTCCTTTATCTCTCCACAGGCTGTCCAGATCCTGCTTGCTCTGATCATCTTGGGCATTGGAATTATATTTTTACTTAGTTACCTCAGTTTCTCCTCCAAATTCCCTATCGTTTTCCTCACAGGATACCCATTCTGGGGAGCACTTATTGTGAGTACTATTTACTAGCTTTTGAGAAACTGCTATAAAACCTGCTTTGAACTGTTCTACATCCTAGGATAATAAATTCAGTTTTCCCCTCCCAAAAAATCACACATGAAGTCCCCTCTATGGCAAAACAAATAACTCTATTGGTCATTGCACATAGTAAAAACTACTTCAAGGTGTGCAGTGCTTAAAAGTTCCCTAAGCTCTGGTATGTACAGCAAGTCATTTGCTCCTCACTGCCAATATGGGGGTTTAGCTGGACAAGTATCCTACTTTCTTCTCTGCCAATAGGAAAGTGAGTTTGGGAGTAGATAATAATTTAAATATTTTTAGCTATCACTCTTAGAATCACATATTTTCATGGCTTAAGGAAATTCTGAGATTTTTATGGCTAATTCTCTTCTAAATACTAGAGACAATTTAATGATTGTCACTTATCTAAATAATAATACAGTCATAAATACAACCCTCATTTTGGGGCTATTTCCAAGCAATTCCCCACAAATTTGGTCCCCAATGTTATGTTCTAATATATAAGAAAAATTTCATTAGAGCTTCCTCCACTAGAACATGCACTTACAAAAGGCCAACTATATTGTCTGTTTTACTTGATGTTATATGCTCTGAATCCAATATCATGTTGCACAATTCTATGAATAAATTAATGAAGGATTTAATGAATGAATCAATCAATAGATTAAATAATGAATAAATGACACCATTGTCTATTAAAAACATACTCTTCTGACAAATACAAATATTCATATCTTTTCTATAATTTGTATTTCAAAAACAACTGGTAGAATTTTCACTTTCCTAGTATTAATTACATTGAATATGATTTTCAAACTAGACATGACACACTGTAGAATATTTAACACACCAACTCTTCACTTCCCCATTTCTTTTCCCAGTGTGGGTCTGTGTAATCTATGTGTTTGAGTGATAATAAAGTTCTGGCCTGCTGCTCTCTGAAATTCCACTCTTCATTGAAAAGATATTTCTTCAGCATATACTAGTCTTTTCTTTATAGTAATTGAGTAATAAATATAATATGATCAGAGTACTGGTAAACACGCCCTCTTTGAACAAAGTAGTGAATTTTTCTTCATAGCATTAGGTGGAGTTTTTCATCTAATACGGAGAATAGAGATGAAACAGTAAAACAACCCCACAAATGTGTTATTTCACTTATGCTAAGTGCTCTTAGAGAGGAAGTTCCAGGTGTGGCCTGAGGATTGCAAGGAGGACTTGCTTGATCCAGGGAGCGGGGGAGTGTTTTACACACAGAGGCTCACTTGGCTAAAATGGAAAGTATTGCATGGCAAAGACAAGGCATAAGCCAAAGGATGAATGTGAAATAGAGAAAATGAAAAACCAATGAGTCTGTAATGGTGGCATAGAATATGACCATTAATATAAGCTTCACGCTGGATGTGCCCATTCTTGTGATCACTTTAAGATCAAAGAACTTTAATATGACAGCAAGGAGAATCCACTGATGACTTTTTAAAGACAGCAGTGACATTGGAAGATTTGCTGAAATGCCACTGTGGTTTCTGAGTGGGAATGAATTCAAGAATGGAAACAGCCAGCCTGGGAGGATCAGCTGGCAGGGATCTGCAACAACAGGACAGGGAAGAACTATCTGAGTAGCAGTAGAGATAGAGAGAGGGGGACACCACTGAGAATGATTTTGGGGGTAGAACTGATAGGAATTGGAGATCTAACGTTGGGACTGAGGTGGAAGGAGGCATCTAAGGTAACATCCCAATTTCTGTATGTCAACTTGAGGTCCTTGGGCCCCAAGACCTCCATGCCTCCAATGTGCAACACCAATTTCCACAGAGGAGGTTCCTATGCCCAGACAAAAGTAAAGGACTCCACATTGAATGGCAAAGTCCTCATTTTCCATGGGTGCACTAGGCTGGAATAAGTATACTAACATCAGGGGAGTATTCCCTGAGAAAACCCCCCTCCACTTGCTAAGGGCAGATAAAACATCTTTTCCCCTATTCCCGGGCCAGAGCCCAGGGATCTCTTTGAAGCCCAGCTGGGTCAAACATCTGGACAGTATTTTCTGAAACTTATAAAGGGACTTTGCTTTCCCCAGATGGCACTGGCAAAGTCATTATTTGGTGTTGAGCAAGTTCAGCACAGTATTTTTTTAAATACCTGTTCACTCACTTGGTAAGCAGAAATACAGAGAGAGGAGAGACAGAGAAAGAGATCTTCTATACTCTGATTCACTCTCCAGAGGGCCACAATGGCTAGGGCTGGGCCAGGACAAAGCTAGGAGCTAGGAGCCCCATCTGGGTCCCCCACATGGGTGCAAGGGCCCAGGACTTGAGCCATCCTCCGTTGCTTTCTCAGGTGCATCAGCAGGGAGCTGGATAAGAAGTGGAGCAGTCAGGACACCAGCCCCACAGAGTATTTTCTTCTTCTTCTCCTTCTTCTCTTACTCTTCCTCCCTTCCCACTCTTACTCTTCTTCTTCTTCTTTTTTAAAGATTTATTTATGTGAAGGGCAGAGTTACAAAGAGGCAGAGGTAGAAAGAGATGGAGACAGAGACAGAGAGAGAAAGAGGTCTTCCATTCGCTGGTTCACTCCCCAAATGGTTGCAAAAGCCAGAGCTGTGTCAATCCAAAGCCAGGAGCCACGAGCTTCTTATGGGTCTCCCACGCGGGTGCAGGGGACCAAGGACTTGGGCCATCTTCTACTGCTCTCCCAGGTCATAGCAGAGAGCTGGATTGGAAGTGGAACATCTGGGACTCGAACTGGTGCCCATGTGGGATGGTGGCACTGCAGGCCGCAACTTTACCCGCTATGCCACAGCGTCAGGCCCAGAGTATTTCTTCTTACATCAGCACATAAACTCCACCCTCCTAAGGGTCAGGCTGAGAGACTACAATGTCTGGGAGAGCCACAGACAGTTTTTGAATCCAAAGGAAATTATATTGTAAAGTAACTCAACACGCCACGTTTAAACTTTTGTCTTGTTTTCTGTACAGTTTTTTCTTGCAGGATGCTTCACAGTAATCGATACATCAAAAAGAATTCTGGTACGTCTCTTTGTGACTTGTATGTACACAAAAACCTTCTATTTTCTTTAGATCACATTGCATGTGAGTCCTTTAGTGAAGAATGATCTCTTAGGCAAATCTCTAATTTGCTGTTTGGATTATTCCTGTTTGTCAATTTCCTATTCTCCCATCAATTAAACTCAGAAAGTTGCTTATTGAAAACCATTCTACATTTCTCTAACTCAATGATTCTTAACTGGAGGTAATTTTGTCCTTCTTCCCTCTATCGCCACCCCAGGAACATTTAACAGTATCAGAAGATATTTTGCCTGATCACAATTGGGTGGGGGGTTCTACCGGCATCAAACGGGTAGAATTTACAGTTGTTTCTAAGTATCCTAACATGCATAGAACAGCCTCCTGCAACAACAAAAATCATCTGACCAAAATGTCTAGAGGGCCAAGGTTGAGAAATCTTGCTCTATTCAAAACTAGTTCCTGGATTCCAGTAGTTTTCAATCCCCAACTCCAACTCCACTTCAACTGTCAACAGACTTTGCCTTGGATCTGGCGTAAAAGGCTTGGACATTGATACTAGATGATTCTAAGACCAAATCAATGCTTTCACTTGCTGCTGTGTCAACTTGAAGGGAACAGTACCTACTTCTAAGTGTTATCTTGAGGATTTAAGATAGTGTTTACAGAAGTGTGAGGATACTTAAATATTCATTCACCCCAATAACCACTCTGATCTTGTTTAAAGTCCTGGAGACATGGGCTGCCTCTCAAAGTCATTTTAACTGTATGGTTCTTATTATGGTCCTCTGCCAGTTTCCTTTGGAGATAGTTACATGCTATAGAGAAGTTCTGGAGAGATGAATGTCCTCATCTCTACCTATGGAAATAAATCAAGACAATGCAGATGGAGCTGTTCTCTGTATTGACTTCCTCCCAGGGCTGAGAAATACACCAAGGTTACAGCAGCTCTTTGTTTGACCTCTGACATCTGGACCAGTAGAGGCAGAGAGAATGTCATGCGTGCAAAGGCACTGAACTGGACACCAGCAGACAAAGATAACTAGGACTGCTCATAATCCCTTAATCACTGAATCCCATTGATTTGTAGAATGGAGATAAGTTTCCAGTCCACATCTTAAACCTGTGATGAGGATCAGGTGAATCTAAGGCTGAGAATGTTCTTTGTAAAGTGCAATACACATGAAGGATTGCTTATATGGATAACTTAGATTAATGGATGTCCCATGGGAACCAAAGCAGCTCCTTGAGAGAACAAAAGACTGAAGATTGAGAGGGATGTCTTACCTGCATGGCCCTGTGCATTGTATGTCAAAATTCCTGCCTGCAAAAAGATCTGGGTTTGAGGTAAACATTAAGCCATATGTAGACTTTCGGGGCCTGCCATGCAAGACTCCAATTGCTCTAGGAAGGGCTAGCTGTGTAAATATATTAATGCCTTGCTTGTCACAACAGGCATAAAACAATAAATAAAAATACAGTCAATATATGATTAATTGAGACATAAGGGTTTCTTTTAAAAAGCAATGCTATGGAAAGCCATGACACGGTGGCATAAAACAATCTAAATGAAAGATCCTGGTGAACAAGACCCCAGCAGAAGGAACAGGCCATCAAGGAGAGAGGCGCCTTTCTCTGAAGGGAGGAAGGAACCTCCACTGTGATATGGCCTTGACTAAACGAGTTCAGAGTCGGTGAACTCAAGGGGCTTCCATAGCCTAGACAGCTCATAGCAAGAGTCTCGGGTGATTGCTGACATCATAAATAAGAGTGCCAATTGTTAATCAACAACGGGAGTCACTGGGTACATGCTCCCCTCGTAGGATCTCTGTCCTTAATGTGTTTTACTATGAAACTTAAAAACAACACTACTAGTTGAACAATACCCTATATCTTGTGCGGTTGTGTGAGTGCAGCCTGTTGAAATCCTTGCTTAGTTTATACTAAGTTGATCTTCAGTATATGAAGGTAATTGAAAATGAAACTCGATGAAGGGCGGGATGGAAGAGGGAATGGGAGAGGGGAGGGCCACAGGAGGGAGGGAGGTTGGGGTGGGAAAGCCACAACAATACACAAATTGCACTTTGTAAATTCACATTTATTAAATAAAAAAACTATATAACAAACAAAGAAAAAGAAAAAGAAAAAAAAGAACTTAATACTTTACCCTTTTAGTATTTTTTATGTTCTACTTAAAACTATTGGATTTTTCACTTTATGTTTCTGTGTGGGAGCAAACTGTTGAAATCTTTACTTAATGTATGCTAAACTGATCTTCTGTATATAAAGAGAATCGAAAATGAATCTTGATGTGAATGGAAGGGGAGAGGGAGTGGGAAAGGGGAGGGTTGCGGGTGGGAGGGACGTTATGGGGGGGAAGCCATTGTAATCCATAAGCTGTACTTTGGAAATTTATATTCATTGAATAAAAGTTAAAAAAATGTAAAAAAAAAGAAATGCTAAAAAAAACACTATTGGTTGAACTCTGTAATTAATACACAGTTACTCCTAGGTGTTTAATTAATGCTATAACTAGTACTCAAATAGTATTTTACACTTTGTGTTTCTGTGTGGGTGTAAACTGTGGAAATCTTTACTTAATATATGCTAAATTGATCTTCTGTATATAAAGATAATTGAAAATTAATCTTGATGTGATTGGAAGGGGAGAGGGAGTGGGAGAGGGGAGTGTTGTGGGTGGGAGGGAAGTTATTGGGGGGGAAGCTATTGCTATTGTAACCCATAAGCTGTACTTTGGAAATTTATGTTCATTAAATAAAATAAAATTTAAAAAAAAGCAATGCTAGTGCTGCGAATGTATCTGAAGAAAATAGTATGCTCCCCCCTTCCTTTGAAGATGCTTAGTCATACTTACCCCTCTCCAAAATAATTAATAGGCACGAATAAAGGAAATTGAGTGGGATGATCTGAACTTTTTATGATTTCTTTATTGGAACACTGAGGTCAAGACAGGACACCTTTAAGCCTCAGTCCAGATCTTGTTGGTTACTGTTTGAGTCTTCTTGGAAAATGAACTCAAACTATATTGTGCAGGATGTTATCTCTCTGTTTCATCTTTGTATCTCCAGGACCTAATGCGGTGTCCAATACATATTAGGTTATCACTAATATTTATGAAATAAATAAAATCTTTAGATGAGATGTCACTCATCTTTAAAGACAGAAATTAAGACTCCAAAAGATTAATTTGTACAAGGTCTAATTTTTAGGTCAAGATATTTTCCAATCCACCATGGTGTGTTGAGATAAGATGAACATTTTTTTTAACATTAACCATAGAGTTTCCTTGGCCAATTCTAAAACTTTTCTTTTAGAATTTTGTCTTTGTTTTAGAAGTTTGTCTTCTAACTTTGACAAATCATGATTTAAATTACAAGTCACTCCATCACTGAGAGGTATCAGGAAAGATAGAAGCACTAAGAATTTCTTAGAAGATATTTCTTTGATTTGGTTTGGTTTTTACTGATTTTATTATTTGTTAAAACTGTTTTCCAGGGACTAAGTGTCACAACCATAAATATTATCAGTTCCTTGGTTGCAGTGGCTGGGATTACTCTCACCATTATCAGCTATATAAATCAACACAGATTCTGCCAAGACCTTTCCTTTGAAGGTTTATGTGCTATAGGTAGAACACTTCTCATAGTAAGTGGTCATTATTTTGTACAATGAATCTGTATAATGTTATCTGAACTGTCTCCATTATGTAATGATTCATGAATTTATTTTTTAATAATTTGTTTTTATTAATATACAGAGAACAGATTTCATATAGCTCATGGATATAATTCTAAGAATATAATATTACTTACTCATTTCATCATCCCAGCCTTCCCTCCCTCCCTCCCTCCTTCCTTCCTTTTATACTTTTTGTGATAACATATTTTTAATTTATAGTCAAAGACTTATTGCTCCACTAAATAAAGAGTTCAACCAGTGAAAGGTAGAAAGATCACTGTTCATCATGTATATAGACAAGGGCTATAAACAATAACAGAATTCTAAGATGTCAATTTCACTCATATACATGAAATATTCTTGCACTCCATCTATTAGCTACTATACATCAGAGAAAATATGTGACATTAGTCTTTTGGGGTCTGGCTTATTTCACTAAGCATAATGGTCTTCAGTTTCATGCACTTTGTTGCAAAAGACAGGATTTCTTCATTCTATGACTAAATAGTATTCTGTCATGTATAGATACCACATTTTGTTTTTCCAGTCATCAGTTAGTGGGCATGTAAGTTGATCCCATATAAGCCACTGTGACTTGAGCTACTGTAAACATGGAGGTTCAGTTTACTCTTTCATATTTCATATGCTGATTTCATTTCCCTTGGGTGTATTCCCAGGAGTGAGATGACTGGGTCATATGGTAGATCTACTTTGGTTTCTGAGGAATCCCCATATTGTCTTCCATAATAGTAATACCAGTTTACATTCCCACTAACAGTGTAAGAGTTCCCACTCATTGATTCCCTCCCCAAATGCCTGCAATAGCTGGGGCTGGGCAGGCTGAAGCTGGGATCTGGGAACTCAATCTAGGTTCTGCACATGATTAGTAGAGAATAATTAAGCCATCAACTGGTATTTCCCAGGATCCACATTAGTAGGAGGCTGGAACAGGGAGCAGAGCCAGGATACAAAACCAGATACTCCAAAATGTGATGCAGATGTTCTCTTAAAAATTAGGTCAAATGTGAGAGCCTGATTGATTCCCTTTTATTCCAATCATTAAAGCTACATCAGCATTTGTACTGGTGGTTGAGAAGTCAATTGTGAGATGATGGTTACTATGACTCAGAAGCCACATTGTCTGGATTTTAGTCCTAGTTTTGTCATGTATAAGCTTGTGACACTGGCCCAAGATTATATCCACCCTGAGCCTCAGTTTTCCTCAAGTGGGAAGTGAAGATAATAGGAATACCTACCTGATTGGGTTATTGTGAGGATTATTTAAATTAAAACAGTACCTGGTATGGGAAATAGTAGTCAATAGTTTTAGTGATTACTATTCTAATTGATAGGATTGGTTTAAATTTTACCTTTTCATCATTAATGAGGAATAAAAAGATCTAAAAAGTCTGTTCAATTAACACTGAAAATAAAATACAGTGGGAGAAAGTGACTAAGAATTAGGTTTCAATAAATATGGAAAATAAGTAATTTTAAATAATTATAGAAACTATATAGATAAAGAAGATGATTTATCTTTACCAGGAAATATAATTGTATGCATAATTGTAAATATTTGCCCAATAAGCAATATAGGACATTATTTTTAAGCATATCAAAGATTACAATAGACCTCTCCTTCAGGTTCCTTAAGCAAGTTGTGGGGTTACATCCTGTTTATATCAGGTACATCTTGAAGGCTTGGAGGTATCTGAAATATTATGGACATTCAGGACACTTAGGATGGAAGTAGGGTGAAATCATGGGAAACAGTCTTCCTCAGTAAAGAAGAAAAGGGAAAGAGCTATCAGTTACTGTTATAAGATCTTAATTTTCACACACACTCACTGAAGTGGACACAAGATATTCTGTCATGTGTTCTGAGCTAAATTCCAGAATTAGACTCATAATTACAAAGGAAACTCAGGAAACAATTTAACAGATAAAATCCCATCTGAATTGGGCTAAGTTCATGATACATCTTTATAACTCTTACCTTTTTAATAATGGATGGGAGTATATTGCTCTCTATTATGTTGGTATATACCAGGAAAAAAAATTGTATACTAAAAGGGTTAAATGTCCAGATATATGAAGGTCTACTATCTATTTCCAGCCCTCCATGGTTTAAAAATGCAAATCTGGGCACTTTACTGAATGTCTCCCTGTTAAACATAGGATTAGGACTCATACCTTATGGGATGGACATTTGGCCTACTGGTTGGGATGCTTGGTTTGGTGTCCCAGCTCCACTTTCAGTTCCAGCTTTTTGCTAATGCACACCCTGGGAGGTAGCAGGTAAGGACTCAAGCAGTTGAGTTTCTGCCACCTATATGGGAAACCTGAGTTAGGTTCTCAGCTCCTAGCTTCAGCCTAGACCAAACTCCATCATTGGGAACACTTGAAGATTGAACAAGCACATGGGAACATTGCCTCTCTGTCTGTCTCTCTCTCTCTTTTTCTTTCTCTTTAAATAAAAAGAGACCCTAATCTTAAAAGGCCTACAAAACCCTGTAATATCAATCCAAATTACTTTCTAATGTTATTACAGGACTTTACTGTTCTTACTTCACACTCCAGCTACTTAGAATCCCTTAATGTGTAGAGCACCTACTACCCCAGGACAGTGAGAACAGTTCTTCCTCCTTTGAAAGATCCCTAGTCCAGTGCTTACCATTTTCCACTAATAAACTTGTCCCCCTACTTAAATCTCAGCTCAAACACCACTTCTTTAAGGAAATTCTTCCTGATCACACTTCTGCTCTCAGACCTGGTTAAATCCCCCATTATAATAGTTGAGAGCCCCAAGTATTTCTTCATAGCACTTTAGTTACTAAATAAGTATCTAATTATTTGGTACTGTCTGTCTCCCCTATCATGTAAGTTCCACAAAGAATGGAACTAGGTCTATTTTATTCAATGGTTGATGCCAGGAAATACATATGGAAGGATTTTCATACATTTCAGTTTTATTAACAAATGGTGAAGATCAAACATGTTCCAGGGAAACTGAGACTCGGACAGACACAGTCACTTGTCTGAAGTTAAGTCTGATCTTGCACTCAGTTGCACTCAACCTTTTTTGTCTCTAGAGTATAAGTTTTTTGACACCATGCTATATCATGCTGCTTCTCACTGTAAACATTGCTGTAAAACAGAGTATACAAAATGGCAACTTCAGGCTATGTTCAGACTGCAGATATGCGCTATTTGACTCAAAAAGATGAATAAATAACAGTACAATTCACCTTAAATATAGATAGATTGACTGGATCCAACTTCCTTAAAAAAAAAACATAGGCAGCATGGCACCATATTCCTGCATGGCAACAATTGCCTGGAACTGCATAATCAGTCTGCTATAAATTCTGTTACTTTCTACTGTCTCTCTTCCTGATTTGCTCAAGATGTCTGCCTGCCCCCATAGGCATTGGAGTTTATTGTCCCTGTCTCATCATAAAGACACAATGGGACAAGCATTAGGCCTAGCAGTGAAGACTTGTCTCGTACCAGAATGCCTGGGTTAGATTCTCAGCTGCAGCCCCAAATTCCAGCTTCCTATGAATGCAGACCCTGAGAGACAGCAGGTGATGGCTCAAGTAGTTGAGTCCCTGCCATCCACATGGGAGACCTGGATTGAGTTCCCATCTCCTGGTTCCAGCCCCAACTGTTGCAGTCTTTCAGAGGAAAGTGAACCATTGGATGATATCCCTCTCCCCCTTTCTGTCTCCACATCCCTATCCCTCTCACTCCCCCTTCCCTCTCAAATAATAATTAAAAAAATAAAAACAAAGACATAAGATGAATATTTTTCCAATAGCTAATGACTAAAGGGTCATCTAAATTAAAAGTTTTTCCAAAGTTGGTCCTAGAGTTTAAGGGGTTTGGGATTTATACCTTTTTAAAATTTATGTTATACAAGTTTCATGTATTTCATATATACAAATTTGGGAACATAGTGTTACCTCCTACCCTACTCTTAACTCCCACCCATGCTCCAACCTTTCTTCCTCCTCCCTTTCCCTTTCCTATTCTTAGTTTTTCTTAAGTGGTAACAGCTTTCATTTCAAATGCCATTTATTTCTCCTCCTTTTCAGGGGATGTTGTCGGTTTTACTGATCATCAGCATAGTGGAGTTCAGTGTCTCTGTGACTATCACGTGCTTTAGAAGCAAGTGCTGGACAAGATCAAATGAGGTGCGTCTAATGTTATGAGTACAGATTCCTACTGGCACACAAAAAGTTACATTCTGCTTCAGAGAGACATGTGTTTAGATGCTGAAATGAAGGTCTAAAATTTAAGAAGGTTAGGCTCAAACAAGGTTAAAATTGAAACTTACCTCATTTAAAACAACTATGCTTTACCTTCTTGCTCAACTTGCTCAGCCATCTCTGTTCAAATATGGTTCCTTATTGCCTGCAAAAATATATGAAATATCAGACATAATGAGAACTCATATTACAATGACATGGGAGGCTTTTACCTAGGTCATAAAAAGGTGTGAGGCAATTCCCTCACCAGGGTGAAAGCAGAGGAAAAAAAATCAATACTAAATATTATCTATACTAATCCTAATACCTTATACTTACTGAGCTTACTATGTCAGTCATTGTTAGTCAATAAGCATCAACTTATTCAAACTTAACAAAACTACAGAATACCTTATTTTAGATGTGAATGAATAAAGAAGTTGAATAAATCCTACAGCATCATATAACATCATGATTCTGACTTGGCTAGTACATCTCCGGAGCTTGCTCTCTAAGTCCCAAATATGAATCCAGACCCTGTGTTTGGTGTATTTTTTTTTTACATCAATTCTTTAGAAGTGTGATTTAAAAACGTTAAAATACACACATTTTAACTATACATTCAATGAGTTTTTTCTTTTTTCTTATTTTTTTTTTTTTGACAGGCAGAGTTAGACAGTGAGAGAGAGAAAGAGAGAAAGGTCTTCCTTTCATTGGCTCACCCCCCAAATGGCTGCTACTGCCGGCGCGCTGTGCCAATCCGAAGCCAGGAGCCAGGTGCTTCCTCCTGGTCTCCCATGCGGGTGTTGGCGCCCAAGCACTTGTGCCATCCTCCACTGCCCTCCTGGGCCACAGCAGAGAGCTGGACTGGAAGAGGAGCAACCAAGATAGAATCCGGCGCCCCGACCGGGACTAGAACCTGGAGCGCTGGTGCCACAGGCGGAAGATTAGCCTAGCGAGCCGCGGCGCCAGCCCATTCAATGAGTTTTAACAAATCATATACATCTGTGTAGCTACCATCACAAGTATGCTCCCATCACCCCAAAAGTCTCACTGTAGTCCCTTTGCAGTCAATGCACTCATTACTTAGATTAATTTTGACTTTCTCAAATTTATCTATGAGATCTTAAGAAGTACTCCCTGTGTCTGGCTTCTTTCACACAGAGACATATTTTTGTGATTATTCATGCTTCACATCTATCAAGAACACATCCTTGGGGGTGGGTATTTGGCACAACTGTTAAGACATTTCTTGGAATGCTTACAATCCATATATGAATACCTGGGTTTGAGTCCTGGCTCCACTTATGATTCTAGCTAACTGCTAATGCATACCCTTAGAGGTAGCAGGTGATGTCTCAAATACTTGGGATTTTGCAATCCATGTGGAAGACCTGGATTCTGGGCTCCTGACTTCAGCCTGTTGTTGAAGGAATTGGGAAGTGAACCATTAGATGGAATACATTGTTGGTCTGTCTGCCTCTCTAATTTTCAAGTAAATAAAGACAAATAAACCAAAAAAAATTTAAAAAGAATTCATTCCTTTTATGTTTGGGTAGATCACAATTGGTTTATGCATTTACCTGTTGGTGGATATTTGGATTATTCAAAGTTATGAACTACTGTGAGTTGCTATGAACACTCTTATACATATATATAATATATATGGACATATATTTTAATTTCTCTTAGGGAGTGGCATCTAGAATTTAATTGCTAGGTCATATGGAAAATTAAGTTTGTAAGAAGATGTCTAACAGCTCTTCAGAATGGCTATATCACTTTTCATTTTCATCAGCAATATAGGAGAGGTATGATTGCTCCACATCATCATTAACACTTGAAATTTTCATCTGTATTAATAATTGAGCTAGTCCAGTGGTATCACATTGGAGCTTAAATTTGCCTTTCCCTACGGAATAATAATGGTGAGACTTTGCTATTTATCACCCATTTGCATATCTTCTTTTGATATGTATATTCAAATCTTCAACTGATTTTTTTTTAAAAAGATTTACTTATTTATTTGAAACTCAGAGTTAGATATACAGAGCAAGACAAAGAGAGATATTCCATCTGTTCACTCACTCTCGAGATGGCCATAATGGCTGGGGCTGGGCCAGGCCAAAGCCAGGAGCTAGGAGCTTCTTCCAGGTTTCCCAGATGAGTGGCATGGGCCCAAACTCTCAGGCCACCATTCAGTGATTTTCCCAGGCCATTAGTAGGGAGCTGGATCAGAAGTGGAGCTACTGGGACACAAACAGGTGCCAATATGGGATTCTGACATTGCAGCCAGTAGCTTTACCTGCTACACCACAATGCTGGCCCCTGGAAGACTTTTATAGAATCGTTTATCTTAAGTTCTAAGAGCATGATTAATTCATAAAGCAATTATCTTTTTTGTATAAATGTATTGTAATACTAATATTTTACTAATCTGTGGCTTGATTTTACATTTTCTTAAAAATTTTTTTAAATTAAAATACTGGCTGGCGCTGCAACTCACTTAGCTAATCCTCCACCTGTGGCACTGGCACCCCGGGTTGTAGTTCCGGTTGGGGCGCCAGATTCTGTCCCGGTTGCCCTTCTTCCAGTCCAGCTCTCTGCTGTGGCCCAGGAGTGCAGTGGAGGATGGCACAAGTGCTTGGGCCCTGCACCTGCATGGGAGACCAGGAGGAAGCACCTGGCTCCTGGCTTCGGATTGGCACAGCACGCCGACAGTAGCAGCCATTTGGGGGGTGAACCAACAGAAAAGGAAGACCTTTCTCTCTTTCTCTCTCTCTCTCTCTCTCTCTCTCTCTCTGTCTAACTCTGCCTGTCAAAAATAAATTAAAATACTGATGAAGCTGAATTGACCTTTTTTAATGGTTAATTCTCTTTGAGTTCTAACAAAGCTTCCCTTACCCTAAGACCATAAAGATTTTCTTCCATGTTTTCTTATAGATGGTTGATAGTGTTAGCTTTTATATGTAGGTTTATGATGCATTTTGAGTTAACTTTTGTGTTCATACATGAGGTAAGGTTAGGATTAATATACACCTGTCTCCCGTGGAGATGCCCAGTTGTTCTTACACTATTTGTTGAAAATGTGATGGTTTCCTTCATCACCTTGGCATCTTTGTTGAAAATCACTTTACCATTTATATATGGGTCTCTTTTGGAGTTATTTTCTGACTGACCAATTGTCTTTGCATCCACCTGTCTTGATTTATATAGTTTTAGAGAAAGTTCTATGTAGTAAAGCATACATAACATTATACTATTGATTTAATAATTTCTAAGTGTATAAATCAATACATTCATGGTGTCATTTAACCCTTATCACTGTGTAAACCCAAAACATTTTCATCCCCACTACAAACTCTATGCCTTGGAAATTCTCCTTTTCCTTCTCCTCCCATACTTCTGGATCCTCTGTTCTACTTTCTACATTATGAATTTACTCATTCTAGAAACTTCATATCAGTGGACTATATAACATTTACCTTCTGTGAATGGTTTATTTGATTAAACATAATGTTTTCAAGGTCCATCTATAAAATTCATTCATTTTATTGAATAAAATGTCAATGTGTGTATTTATACTACATTTTGTGTACCCATTCATCTTTTGATGGACACAGATTATTTTCATCTTTTGCCTACTGTGAATAACGATGTGCTGAATACTGGTATACAAAGATTTGTCCATGTTTTCAATGCTTTTGGAGATGTGTGTGTGTGTGTGTGTGTGTGTAATTTCCAAATCATTTGGTAGTTTTATGTGTAACTTTTTGAAAAACTGACAAAATATTTCCCACAAGGTTTTCATGATTTTATGTTCCTACCATCAATGCACAGGGATTCCAATTTCTTCACATCCTCGCCAACATTTGTAATTTTTTTTATAATAGCCATCTTAGTGGGTGTGAGTATCTCATTGCGGTTTTGATTTGCATTTTTCTAATGTCATTTGTATATATTTGTTGGGGAAATGTCAGTTATAGTCTCTTGCTCATTCTCTCATTGGATTATTTGCTTGTTATTATTGTTGAGCTGTTCAGCTCTTTATATATTCCAGATATTAATCACTTATTAGATATGATTTTAAAATATTTCTTCCATCCTGTAGGTTATGTTTACATTTTTTGAAGATATATTTTGATGTATAAAATTTATACATTTTTTATGAGTCTGATTTAGCTATTTTATCTTTGGTTGTCTGTCTTTTAGGTGTCATATCTTATAAAATCATTGACAAATCCAATGCAATGAAGACTTCTCTCAGTTTTTCTTCAATGAATTTAATAGTTTTACTTCTTTAGTCTTTATTCATTTACAGTTAAATTTTTTGGACATGGTGTAAGATAAGGATTCAACTTCCTTCTTTTGCATCTGACTATTCAGTTTCTCCAACACTATTTTTTAAAAGATTGTCTTTTATTCATTAAATATTGTTGGCACCCCTATTGAAAATGAGTTGACAATATACATGAGGCTTTATGCTACACTTTCTATTCTATTTCATTTGTTTGTATATATTCCCTTATAACAATACCATATCATTTTAATCACTCAGGCTTTTATAGTAAGTTTCGATATTGGGAAAAATGAATGCCCAAACTTTCTTCTTTTTTTTTTCAAAATTATTTTGGGTATTCACAGCCTCTTGAAATTCCACATGAATTTGCAGATAAGTTTTTTTCCATACTTGAGGAAAATGTTGCTGAAAATTTCATAGGGACTACATTGAATCAGTATTATTTTGTTGGCTAGTATGACATATTAACAATTTTAAGTCTTCTTATGCATGAATATGGAGTGCTCATCCATTTGCTGTGGAATTATTTAGTTACTTTCAGCATCTTGTATAGTTTTAGAATAAAACTTTTTCATCCCCTTGGTTAGACTTCTTAAGTATGTGACTATTTTAAATACTACTGAAAATCAAATTGCTTTCCTAATTTCCTTTTTCATGTACATTGCTATTTAATAGACATAATATCAATGATAGCTGTAGTTTGATCCTGTACCTTGAAACCTGCTGAATTATTTTATCAGCTCTAGCGACTTTCTTGTAGATTATTTGAGCATTTTCTATTTAGGAGGTTCATGTTGTCTGCAAATATAAATAGCTTTACCTATTCTTTTCTAATGATAATATTTTATTTCTTTTTCTTGCCTAAG